TAAACATTTGTAAAAGTTTTTTTTCCTAAAATTTTCAATTAAAAAAAAAGAAAAGAAACCAAAGGGAAACAAAACCAAGTAGAGGAACGAAGGCGACAAAGAAGTAACAGGATGGAGGAAGAAGTGAAATTAATATTGGTCAATATAAATGGACTAAATTCACCTATAAAAAGAAGACAAACAATTTCTAAACTCCAAAAACAAAACATGGACATCACATGAAATTCATATTAAAAAAGGAAGTGGTAGTATCCTGGAATCTCCAAAGTTAGGGAAATTACATTGGCCTTGACTGAAACAAAGAAAATGGGAATTGCAGTATATATAAAGGATTGGCTAAAACCTAAACAGATATACATGGATGAAGAGGGAAGAACATTATTAACTGAAGTATCAATAAAACAAAAAAAGAATACTAATTGCAGTCATATACGCACCAAACACGAACCAGAAAGAATACTACAATAAATTACATAAGCAGATTGCAGAATTGGAACTGGACAATGTATGTTTATTAGGGGATTTTAATGTGGTGGTAGACCCAAAGAAAGACTATGAAACAGATAATAAAAATTAGATCAAGTAGACAAAATTATTTTGAAAATGCCAATAAACCAGGGAGATGGCTGGCCTATAAACTAGAAAAAGAAAAAGAAAACAAATTAATACAGCAATTAGAGGATGAAGAAGGAGGGATATACCACCAAAAGGAAGGGAAAAAAGCATAGCAGTAAGATACTTTCAAACCCTGTATAGCCCAGAAAAAATAGAAGAGGAGGATAGGAACAAAGGAAACACTAAATGAGGGAATAATGAGGCTAGAATTAAAAAGGGCAATCCCAGATCCGGATGGAATTCCAGCAGCATTCTATAAAGAATTGCAAAAATCATTGGAGAATGTATTATTAGAAATGTACAATGCAGTACTAGAATGAGCTAAGACACCAAAATCTTGCATGGAGGCACTAATAACATTAATTCCCAAAGACAACACTGAAAAGCAAAAGATCCAAAATTATAGGTCAATCTTGCTGCTAAATGCTTATTATAAAATATTTATGACAATAATGGTGGAAAGAATTAAAAATATACTAAACGTAATCATACACTCAGGCCAAAATGGATTTCTATCCAACAGACATATAAAAAACAATATACGAACGACAATGGACATATTACAATACTACGAGATACACTCAGGAAAATAAGCAGCATTGATATTTATTGATGCACAAAAAGCATTCAATAACCTGAAATGGGA